GGGAAAAAAAATGCTCTAGGTCATTGAACAACGTCTCGCCCGACAATATTGTTCGCCAGCTGTTAGACGCGCGTATAAATACTGACGGCGTAACGCCGTGGAAACCGTTGCGGCGGTACGTTACGCCGCATAAAACGATGTTTAACGACCGTTACGCCGCAAACGAACCTCAAAGATCGCTTGATTCATGTACGCTCCGAGTACGTCGGACTAAGTCGAGCGGAGGAAACGGGAGCTGGCGGTCTAAGACGAGACGATAACGCGAGCGTTCCTGTCAACAGGCCTCAGATTGATCACGGCTATTTTTTTACGTTCAAGCATTGCACATAGCCGTTTCTAACGTCGCGTACTTAATTGTCTTGAAAATCTGAAAAAACGTAAGAGAATCTTTAAAAACTTAAAATGTTAGATCCCTCGTCTGCTCTAATGATCGGATGAACCGTTTCTCCGCGAGTTAATCGACCGCGTTAGGAGCGAGCAACTGCGCGTAACTAACGCAGGTATAGTAGCATCGAAAGTTATCGTCGCGTTGAACAACGCGTTGAGATCTCTCGCGGCTCTTACTTCCCGCACCTGCTCCCGGCCGATCAGTCGCCGTTAGAAATTAAACTTCGGACACGTCGCCGGTCGATCCGCTCGCGGAATGACTCGCTTTCCCATCGCGTCGAAGGGGAAAAAAAGCCGATCGCGTTTTCCCATCGCACCGCCGCCGCCGCCGCCGTCACGGCAGCATTTTCGTCCTACTTCCTCGTAACGGGCTTCTGGGTTCCGCTGGAAAGTCTTCAAATTAGATAAACAACGAATCAGAGAAATGTAATAGAAATCAAATGAGATCATTACGGACAGCTGCTGGGGCAGGCACAAGTTCTTTTTCCTCGGCCGTCCGCCGTCCTCGGCTCGATGCGCCTCGTTGGTATCTCCGCGTGCGCGCAATAGGCCGCGGAATATCACCTTAACATTGAAAATGACTCTAGAAATCTGGGTAAAAATATCTCGGACAGATGTGGGGTCTATTATCGAGTGACTTTCGTATCTTCAACTTTTTTTTTTTCACGATGGTCGTCTCTAGCCGGCCGGTCGGTCGAGCGAGAGGAAAATAAGGAAACACGTCTCCCCCGAGAAAGACGGGGTATTTTTAGTAGCTCATTCAAATTGCACACTCTCTCCGACGATCTCTCAGACTCGCTGTTGTTTATAATCCGCTGATTTCCGCGCTCATGAACAATCTCGTCGCCGCAACGACTTAAAAATAGACTTCGCTGTTTGAGTCTAGGATCTACATTTAGTTAAATGCATATAGAAATCAAATGTAGAGTTATAAGCCTAATCTACAATATGCTCTGTATTCCGTTTTTTTACTTTTTATCACTTTTTACCTTGCCTTTTTGCCAGCTCTTATCCTCTGATCCTTTATTTTCGCTCGAAATAAAAATTGACAAACTTCGGAAGAGACAGGAAACACATCACAAGAAACACGATTGTCGATAAAACTGTATCGCTAAGAGGGAAAAAGGCAAGAGATAAAAAAGCAAAAAAAAACAGAAAGCAAAGAGCATATTGTAGATTATATAGGCTTTAATCCAGCTAGACTGTCTGATACGAGAAATATTTGTTGTCTCACTTGCCGAGTGCTGCAAGCTCTTCGAAAATCAGGAGATCCGATCTCTCCGCGAGGAAAGGTCTGGAATGAACGGACTTGCCGGAGGGTCCGAGGACCTCCGGCAGTTAGTGAACTAGGTGCCGAGAGACTTAAAGCGAGCCGACAGCCCGAGACGAGAGGATCTGTCCGAGAGGAAGAGTCCGAGAAATCGTGAGAGGGGGACGGGGAAGAGAGAGCGACGAGACGAGGAGGCGCGAAGGCGTCGATGCCAGAGCTAGGGGCCTACGCCCGCCGCCGACGAGTGCAAAGTTCTAAGTTCCTCGCTGTAGCGGTTGCGAGACAAGGGTGGTGCCCCGTTATTAATGCGGGCCTAGGTCACGGGCGGCGGAATGTCTCCTCGGGCTCTCTCTCTTGGTAGCGGCGCGGCCGGTGTAGTTCGTAAGAAGGCCAGTGGCCGCGCTCTCGCGTATACACTATAAATAATCGCGTGCGCGGGTATGTCCAAGTATAGCCCGTTGGGAGTGTGCCAGCCTCAGCGAGGAGGCCTCAGCTATTTTTGCGGGCTGTCGCTGCCACCGGCGTGTGCGCTACACAACGCGCGGCGACTCGGACACTTCGATCGCGACCGCCGATTCGGAGATGGTCCCCGCGGTCTCTCCTGACGGATCATCTACGCGACCATATCGCGGATCCCCTTTGACCTTCTTCGTCTCTCCTCCTTCTCCTCCTCCTCCTCCTCCTACTCCTCCTCCTCCTCCTCCTCCTCCTCCTCCACCAGCTTCTTCTCAATTCGATGCATCCGTCTCTCTTCTCTCTCGACCGAGATCTTTCTCGCGCTGTGACCTTGAGCGGCTTCGCGTTGTTAGGTCGATTATGTCAATGCCGAGTCCCCGCGGAGATTACGTGATCCAAGGAGGCAGAGGGAGAGATCGGATGAGAAAAGCGGCGGGAGGGACGGAGGAAGGGGAATTGCCGGTTTTGGCAGGTTGGATTCACGTGCCGGTTTCACGGTCAGCCGAGAAACGAGGACTCCGGGGCTCGATTAATATGCGGATGACTCGTGCTGCATGGTTTTGCGCGTTACCGGATGCACAACGGTGCGCGGATATTTTTATACGTGGCTCGTGAATTCATGTTGAATTGCGAAAAACTCGAGCGTACGGGCGATGCGTCTTAAATAAAACGACAAAACAAACAACGCGTTGATGGAAATGTATATTGACAATAGCGCTGGGCTCTGATAATGCCGAGGTTGATTGAGAGACGCATCGTTGCGCCAAGAACCAGTTATCAACTGATACGCTCGAGAGAAGAAAAAGAGCGAAACTTGCAGTTACAGCTAAGAAACTCTTGAATCTGAGCTGTTCTTTAGATGTAACTATATTCATATTATCATAATCTTTACATCACGCATAAATATATTCAGAGAACTTTACGCGTATTTAACAAACATAAAATATTTTAAGATGTCTTCTAATTGTAAGATATGAACGAAATTACACACATCTAGATCTTTAAAATAATGTTCTAAAAACTATGTTATAAATTATTGTAGAATATATTTTAAGAATAAGACATAAAGATAAGATAGATTTTTTATTTTATTTTATTTAAAAATGTCGTACAATATATGATACATAAAATAAAAAATATCTTTATTTTATTCTTATTATATCTTATTCTTAAAATATATTCTACAATAATTTATAACAGTTTTTAGAACATTATTTTAAAGTATCTAGATGTGTAATTTTGCTCGTTAATAGTTTAGATTGTAATATATATTTTTAAATAAATAAATAAAAATAAATAAATACTTTAAGTTTGAAAATTTTTATGTGTGAAAACCTAAATTCATAAGAATCAATAAAATATCAGAAAGCTATAATTAACAAGAAGGTTGCACTATCTTAAATTCTAAGAATTTTTATAAAAAAATTTCAAGGATCAAAGATATCGAAAAATTCTACAATTTTAAGTTCAAGATTTCAAACTTTCTCTTTAGTCGACAAGATGCTATTAAAAATCAACAATTATTATGGAATTTTTGCATGACCCTTATGTTATATAATAATTGTATGTGAATAATAAATAGTAAAGTAATAATTAATACAGATAACTATGTATATTCGCCTCTAAACGCGAAACATTCAATTATATTTCTGAAACACCACTGTCGTCGTGCGACGCGACTCGCTGTCACGTCGCTTCAAATCTCCCGCTTTCGCCGCGGCGTATACTCGATTCGTCGTAATACCTTCCAGCGTCGCGGTCGTCGCGTGCAGCAGTTGCAGTTATCCAAGCGACGCGCGGTCAATATCACGTTCATTTCCGTTTACTGCGTTCAGCGGGGGGCTGTTGTAACCCCCTTGTTTACATTCGCGTGAAACGGGAATTAGGAGAACGGCACGCGTCCCGTACGAGGGTTCCGGAGTCTGGACAAGTTTTATACCGGTGACGCCGAATCGACCGTCGCGCAATCGCGTTGTCGGCGTTAAAGGGCGCTGCCGCCGACGGCCTATCTTGTGGGCTGATCACAAGCGCGTCGTGTGTATATCGTCGCGCGAGTGTGATCTCGTGTGTGCGTGGAGGATCACGGAGGTGCGAAACGTCCGGAGCGGTCTCTCAATTTTTGCCATCCACACCACGGGTGGCGGCACGCGGTAAGCCAATCCACCGGTGACACCGCGACGAGTAAGTCCCGAAACGGGGCCCGTCGACCGTCGTCGGCCGCCGGGCGTCGACCACAGCGAGAGCGACACCGCCGCTGCCGCCGTTGCTGATTTTGGCACGCGACTTGTCAATGAAAATCGATCCCGAATTATCTGGGTCGGGGGGCATCAGCCGCGTCGGACGCTCGCCGAATTTAAACGCGGCGGACGTCGACGCGATCGGATCAGTCGAACGGACGGCCGCCGGCACTGCGCTCCGGCTGATAACGTCTCCGCGATAAAGGAAGTCGGTCGCGGCCGCCGTGCCGACGGCCCTCGCATCTCGGGCGCGGCTCGTGTCGACGGCCTTTGTTCACGCGCGCCTCCTCCGCCTTCCCCGCGCCGCACGGGGAGACCCCCCTATGCGCCCTTTGAATAATTGATCCCGGCCGGCTGACGGACGCCGCGATAATAAGCTCGAGACGTCGGCAACGCGTCGATCGGCCTTTCCTCTGTCTCGCGGTGACGAGATCCGCGAAAACGTTTTGCGGTCGTAATACGCGATTACTGTCTTGAGCATAGCAATTATCGTAATTGAATGATTCTTGCGTGAGACGTTTGGAGATTAGCTGAGATAATATATTTCCGCGCGCGGATATATACAGTGCGTTACCGGGAGTAGTCTAGTGCTTTGCAAAATGTCGAGGAAGCACTCGGTTGTTGACCAGTCACCATGGGATGATTTACAGACTTCTTCGTCGACCAAGACAACCACCATGACGACAGCGGCCAAGCTGTACGGCAAGGATCTGAGCGAGTATGACGACATTGACGTGGACACACTGCTGGCGGAGCTCACGCCGGAGGAGCTCAATATATTGGCCAAGGAAGTGGATCCCGACGTAAGTTGAATATAAAAAAAAATTTTTTTAAAATTATCAGTTTTATTAATTCTCTTGGACACTGAATCTATGTTGCATTTGTACACAGGACAGCTTTATGCCACCGTCGCAACGTTGCAGTTATGAATGCACTAAGAGTCCTACAGGGCCACTGAATCGCAAGAAACTCATTGAGCACATCAACAAACAGGCTCTAGAGACACCTGATATTCCAGAACTGAAACCATATGTACCTGGTGTAGTTAGGGGCAAAAAAGTGAGTAATATCCTACAAAGTGAGTGCAATATCCTACTATAAATGTGTGTAAATTTTATTTTAATATCAGCCTTGTAAAAAACCTATATATGTATTTATATATACAGTTTTATTTATATTTACACACGTTTTTAGTTGTATTGTTTATATATATATATATATATATATATATATAATTTGAGGTTATAGCTGGCAAAGAAACCTGGAAAAGTTAAAGTTAATATCTAATTGAATAATACTAGTAAAATAAATTTTGTATGAACTTATACTTGGGGAAGAGTATGATATATTTGCATCTAGATTGTATGCATCAAGTCATATTACTCGTTTCAGTGGGTACCTCCACCACAAGATAACACCAAAGAAAAGGAGGCGGATGAACAGATTGCGATAGATCTCGGGGAAGAGTATGAACAAGCGCTTTCGGCCGCCACCCAAGAAGAAATCATTGATCTTGCTGGTAAGAAGATCGATCGCTTCTAAAAGCCTGATTATATCGGAATAGAAGGATAAACGATTGAGACCGCCTCTTCCCTTTCCAGCTATCCTCGGATTCCATTCTATGATGAATCAAGATCAGTATCACGCATCTCTACTGAATTCCGGACAGCCAGTCGGACTCGGTTGGGACGGAGTGACAAAAGCTAGTCAGCCGAAAGTTTATCCGATGGAACCGCCTAACGACACGGACGTTGACGCTACCATTAAACAAGTGCGGAACGATGAGTCGTCTTTGACTGATTTAAATTGGAACAATATTAAAGTGAGTATCATCGATTATATTTTCGTATAAAGAACGAAGCGAATGACGTGTTTTTCGTGCCAAACTAATACTGATCGTCTTGTCAACAGAATATTTCGGACGAAAAATTCATGCAGTTGTTCGAAGGTTTGGAAATGAACACGCATCTCGAGTCGCTGAGTTTAACCAATGTTGGACTCAATGACAAGACTGCGCAACGACTGGCCGATGCCATGGAGAAGAATTCGACACTCAGAGTACTCAAGTATGCATATAGAGTGATATATATTTTTATGCGCGAAATTCGCACATATAAATGGCTTATTTAATTTAGAAAAATACTTTTTTTTTTCTTCAGCGTGGAAACGAATTTCATAAGCCCGCCTGTGATAGTAAGGCTGATCAGGGCCCTTCTTAAAACAAAGTCCATTGAAGAATTCCGATGTTCGAATCAGGTAGATTGTCAAATTTGTTTACATTACATTTACGTGCACAAGTATTTTATGCAAGAGTACCAATGAGATCTAACGAGATTATCCGCACCATTTTTCAGAGGTCACAAGTATTGGGTAACAAGATTGAGATGGAAATCACGCAGTTGGTAGAACAAAACCCGACGTTGCTGCGACTCGGGTTGCATCTGGAGTTTAATGACGCTAGACATCGCGTGGCTGCGCATCTGCAACGCAACATCGATAGGAGTAAGTACACAAAGAGTATCACGCCGATATGAATAATCTAATATTCATTATAGCTCAGAACGAAAGATATATGAAATATCATATCCCTTTAGGAGTGAAAAGGTGTTTTAAAAGTGATCGCTAGAACATAGTTAACATTAATTCACTTGCGTAGACAATTTCGAATGTAAATAGACGCTTCTAATGACATTTTAACGTGAATTATGGAAGAAACATTTCAAATAGGGATATCATTATTGAAATAGGTATATGCATATGTCTCTTAGAAGGTTACAATAATTGATATTCTACACTTGGGCGTCAAGTGCGACGCTCCATTCACGGGTCAGCGCGCAATAATCTTGAGCAGGTGTCATAAATTACGTTAGTGGCGCAATCAAGCGTTTCACGAAACGCATTACGTAAATACCATTGTCTCTGCCACGATGATAATTGTACTATTAATTTTCCGTTTAGATGGGAGCAATTGTATGGGGGACTATGGAGACCACGTGACGAAATGCTTCTAACCTTTCCGTATCTGCTTCGTAGTCTCACGTAGCGCTTTACTGTAGCACTTTTCATCACTCATCCATTCATCCCGCTATATTCATTTGTTATTTTTCTAGTTAGACATATAGAGGTAACTATGAGACTCCCCGGCTCGTTCCTGTGCGATCAAATATGGAAATTTTTAATTTCTGGCACAGTGTTTTTCAAATCCTTACAACTTAAAATCATTTAAAATACGTGGAAGATTTATGAAGCGATACACAAAAGCTATACCTTAGAAATGTTAATTTTATTTGAAAAACGCTGTTTCTCCTCGAATAATATAGCCATCTCCCACGTCACGTTTTGAATCCCCTGTCTTTACCATCTGGTTTCTTTTTTACTTTCCTATACCTCTCCTATTTTATATCTCGTAAGCTTTTATGAAGGATACAGATAAAAAAAAGATGTGTGTTTATAAGCAGTGCAACTACCAGACGGTGATCTGCCTGTTTTCAATTTTCAGCGAGACACAGAGAAGCGAAGATTAGGGTAGTTTAATTTGGTACGAATCTATTGATCAATTTTCATCGTTAATTGAACGGCTTGTAACTCGATTAACCATCGGACTCGCGCTTGATCGACGTTAAATGGCCCTTTCACGATCTTGATTATTTAACAAAACGAAATATTCAAGATGCTTTCGCGATTGATACGCTTAAGTTGTGCTGATAATTTACCACGCTCTCGCTTATGGCCAATTATGACGTCGCAAAGTACAATTAACAAATGGTATATCGGCATTATCTTATCTTTATGTTAAAATCAATTTAGTTTCCGAGCGAAATATTTAAATCTAATCGTCTAAATTCTGTCAAAATTATATCCTCCCTTTTTCCCCCTTTATAGCATGTATCGTTATATAGATCCATTTCACAGAGACTGATGCATACGCTCTCGTAGATTTTTATTACAAACTTACTCCGAGAAATATCTCATAATTACAGAAATTATAGGAATCACGAAATTCCCTGTTCTACTCCACATTGTTCCGTCGAGTCTCTGTCGAAAATGTCCAGTCCCCCAATCCGCGAGCGAACGATTTAGCTTTTATCATTGATTTTTAATTGATTCATTTATCTGGCCAGTCTGTCGTGTGGAACCCACGGAACGTGCTAAGCTTGTAGCGATCGCTGGTGGTCCCGCAACCTTCACCGTTCTTCCCGCAGATGCGACAGATGACTTAAAAAATAGAACGTAGCGCTGTCGCCAGCGCAGTGAGTAGCTTTCTTGCCAAAAGTGAGCTCCGTCTTTCCCCACGACTTGCGATAACTTGTTCCCAATGTGTCGATTGACCCTTTGCACTATCGTATTCTCTTCCGTTACGTTTTAATGTTTTGATAACTTAATGTAATCCTAACGTTAAGAGATCTTGTTGAATGCTATCTCTCGAAGAATCTCGATTCTCCGACTTATACTATAATTTTTTTTAAATGAGTGCAAAGGAATGCATCAATTTGATGAGATCGAGTGTTGTTAATGTGTCCCGTCGATTTTTACCATTCGATTGAACGTTAGAAGGGGAGAACCGTTTGTAATTTTGCGTTTCATATATGCACCATGATCTAAAACTTCTCTCGCGGAGGGAAATGCCGCGCGTAACAATAATTACATCTCTCGAGTCTAATCGCTGAGCGAATGCAATGACTTTATTCCCCACATTCCCTGAAACAGGATCACGCGATCGAACGACTGAACGCGCACAAAGCTAACATTTCACTCCCTCGCGCGAATCCGTCCCGCACGATTTCATTTTGCATTGTCGGCATCATTTCCCCTTGCTCTCCCCCGTCTTTTGCACATTCGACTTTCTTTTCAAGTTTCGACTTTTCTTACTCTTCTAACCCTTCGATATACCATCAGTACATACGATCACAGTACATACGACGTACGGATGACGAGGGTCCATAAGTCTTTTTATTACTTGAAACCCGTCGCACACCTTGGCGAGATATTGCATTTTGTATATAGGCAGACGCGATGGGCCGCCAGTTTTTCCCCCTGTTCCGTATATCATATACGCCAGTCCCCCTCGTTCATTTAGTTGGTTGCATATGTAGGTGCTCGTCACGACGCGTCCCCTCGGTAGCGAAACTCGGCACTCGATATCGCGATATCGTGTTGCAGCGGTCTACCTCGACTTGCAAGACTGAAATGAAAACGCATGTATGTCGAGATCCCTCGATATTTCGAGCGACGCTCGCATCGTTCGAGCGATGCATCGTTCGTTTTTTAAAAAGTTCCCACGCTCAGAGTCTCCGCGTTGAGATCGTATTTCTGATTGCAAGTGCTGTTTAAAAAATTAATTGAAGACAATTAATATAATGAAATGAATGGAATCTTATCTTGCTGGTCGAGTGCCGCCGCGAAGATTTTTCTTATCACGAACACGAGATTTGCCACGAACATTTCCGCGAACTACGCGAGAATCCAAGCTGGCGATATACGTTTAATATACTTACGACACCTATTCTTTCCCAACAGTACGGAAAGATCTAACGCTGCGGCTACAGTTCCGATTCTTTAACATGAACCACAGGAAACCTGCCTTGATTCAATGAAAGGTAGCTACCCGCGCTGTGTGGTAGACCGTCAAGCAGAATGAGCCGCATCCTTTCTCCTCGCGGGGAAGGTTTAACCAACGCTATCTGTTACTTAGCTTCACTAACACAGCTTTTTTGTTTTTAACAAGTTTTAAACAAGTTTTGTCGCTCCGCGAGAAACGCGTGTAGGATCGCACGAACGCGGTCGCGAACTCGGGAATACTCACCGGGGATCGTTCGTGGAACGAATCGTGATGCATTTGGTTTCGCATTGTATTTCCATATTCGCGTCATTCCGTTTCATGGAAACGATTTTCGTCGGTCTCGCGATGCCTTATTTTCGCGAAGTCACGCGATCACCGCGATACAAAATGCAAACCATCGCAGCGTCTTCTCTCGTCCAGCCAAATCAATAAAATCGATAGGTCGTGCCGCGTGATCGTCGCCGAACAATGCCGAATAATGTTCAACTTTCGCTCACCGGAATCGCGCATAGGTTGCGTGACTTTTCGAGCGTCGTGCGGTTTGATTTACGGCGCGCGCAGCATCATTATTACCGGCGCTGCACCTGCCTCGACAGGCGATGCAATGGGGTTTAGACGCATCCTATCAAACCCGATGAAGTCGTGACGCGTTAATTTCCACGGGAGCCAGGGGCTCCTAGGAAGCTTTATTCGCCTCGCGTGACGTCCTGTCGGCATTAACCCGTCAGCTGGAAGACAGCTTAACACACGCCGACGTTGGCGCAACCGAAGCTGACTGACGTCTTATACCGAGTGAATCTCGCGTCCGAGGGCTATTATATCGCGCGGGGATCCGCGTTTTTTTTTCCGCTCGAGTACCGTTCAATTATACACGCTCATCCTACGGGAGAGTCCGCCTAACGAGTCTAATCGAGCCTCCTCTGCGACGAGTAATCCCTCTTTTTCCGTCCTCGCGAAATAATTAGTATATATAGAGAAAATTAGCGTCGGACAACTTTATGAAATCTTGTGCACGCGATCCCTGAGATTCTTAAATTTTTGTAAAATCTCGGAGATTCTGTGCAATTTAATCATTTCCCGGCTAGTTTTCTTTTATCCGCGTTCGAGAATTCTGAGATTTGCACATTTTGCGATACGAAAATACCGAGATCGATCGTCATTAACTCACGGAATCGTCGGAGTCCTTCTATCTTTAAGTTCTCTCGCCGGATTTCTTTTTATTTTCAATAAGTCTCGTTTTAGTATTTCACTGTAGCTCCGCCGCGAGTTCGAGTTGCGCGCGAATTATCGGGGTTTTACTCTCCGGCCGCGGCGTGAGGATTTTATGAGGTGTTAATGCAGATCGGCGCCGGGTGTCATAACGATGACAAAACGCGCCGCGCGTAGCGCGTTATTTTTAAAATGCAAATCGCGCGGACTGCACGCAACGGCGCGAGAGAGAACAATCCACTCTTTCATCGTGGGGGGGATTAACGACGCGAGCCGCGTTAATGAGCCCGCGGAACGTTCGCGCGGCCGGGCGTGAAAATTGCTAATATTTATCCGCGGATTGCGCGTTCTTTTAAAATAATATTCCGCGCGGCGCTCGCGCTCCCGCGTACCGCGATGAAAATGTTAATTGTCGACGGCGGCGCGGGGCCGCCGCGGCGTTATCCGCACGGCATACACACGCGGGATTTATACGGTGACGGGAAAGATCTCGCTCATAAATCCGCAGCACCCTTTAGAGATCGCGTCCGAAATTAAAATAAACTGTAAATAACGGCGCGGCTATTACGTGTGCCGAGCTTTATGAGTTTTAACGGGCTTTTAATTAAGGCAGCTGCCGGTCGCTTCGCGCGCGTTGCTTCGCCGTTCTACAAATTCACGCAGACAGAAAAAGGAGAACGCGCACACGCATTATTTGTTATTTGGTATCGTTATCAATATCGCTTTTGTTTCGCGCTTGAATCGAATCGACCTCCCGATCGCCCCGTATGCAGCCCCGTGCGGATTATATCGAAACCAAAGATTTAATTGCGCGGAATAATATACAATAATTTCTGCGATTCGAAACCGTTCGTCTCCGCTTATCGACTATTAGAAATTTACAATTCTGACGAATATATATTCGCGTCACACTTGCGCGGCAATTCGTCTCGCTGTCTTATTCTGGGAATGAAGTATATTAAAGTTAACGCTAGTAAGAGCTTTGATTTTTAAACGCTTCTCTGAAAAACCTTTTCTCGCAGCGTATAAACTACCAATTTCCCGCTCTCACCTGCGATTTTTCTCTATCGCGGCGTAGATTAAAAATATTCCTCTAGGAATGAAGCCTGCGAGGCGAACTTGTATGTGTGTGTGTAATTGGATTAATGATTCTCGCATCTGTCTGATGATTAACAACAACGTCGCGTTGTGTACGTCTTTGCCAGTTTCACAAGAGACTTTTTTTCTACTCTCTCTTTCTTTCTCCACTAACCAGAGAGTCATAAAATTTACGACTCGCTATCGAGCTGCTCTTCGCATTTCCGCGCGAGTTCGTCGCTGTTACGTTCGCAAATGCATATTAAATCTTTAGACGCCACGGGTCCTTTGTTGTCCCGCCTGTGAAGGCACGCCGTGCAAAAAATTTAATGGAACGCAAATCGGGAGAGAAGCGCGCTTTACGTTCTCGTCGTCGATAAATTACGGGGGCGGTGCGGAGGGAGAGGTGCTTTTAAATTTCCGCTCGATGCCGCTAGACACGCGAGAATAATTACGAATTGGCGGATTACCAGGCCCACGAAAACGATCCGGCGGACAAAGGGATAAATCGCGGAAATTTTCTGCCGCGCGCGATTTTTCGAGATATATATGTGAGATCGAACAGCGGGTGAGGACACTTGACGTCGATGCGCAAGAGCAGCTCGCGAGACTTTTCATGCGTATTGCATGCATTTCGAGGCATGCCACGTCGCTCGATCGAAATGCGAGATGCGAGAGGTGCAGGAAAAAAAAAGAGGAAGAACATGTGGTTACTTTCGATCCAATTATCATTATCGCTAATAAATATTACGTGCGCTAAATTGAAGCGTGTGTCGCACGCGCGCGTTCACTTGTCACGAATCGTGAGAAAATATAAGAATTCTTTTTCGTCAGAAAATGTATATCTACATCAAGCTTCGAAGAAAAGCTTTACACGCGTTCGTGTCAAATTTTTGATTTGATAACAGCGAAAACTGGTGAAATTGGCGCTCGTTTTAATCGGGAGCGGCGTAAAAAGGATATTGCGGTGCCAGCAATGGAATTCGCCGTTTCGCTCGAAACAATTTAGCGCGGCCGGCCGCGACGTGCGCGCGGGAGCGAGAGACAATTAAAAAGCGACGCGCGCGCGTTGGTGATCCGCAGCGAGAGTTTCCGCCGTGTTATTTCTGCCATGCGGCGGGATTACTATTTTACGGCGTGGATTACGACCACCGTAGTTTCGGATAGTACGGTCCCCCTTCAATCAAGTAATGTGCCTCTCACCCCGGCAACGATAGCGATCGATTCACACGTCATCGCGCCGATCAACTCTGAAAATCGTCCGGCTATTGGCTTTACGAGAGTCGCGTCTTCTTCTCGGAAAAGCGACACATAAGCATAATGAAATTTATAGCGCAATAACAGTTTTGGTAAAAATTAAAAGAAATTGAGAGGATAACTGTATAAATATCCACGGCAGGTTTTTTTTCTTCCTCGGATATTACCAATTATATAAGGAAATTGTAGAGAAATTATAAAAATTGGAAGAGATTCGCACTTCTCGGATACGACGCATGTCGAGCGACACGTTCGTGTCTGTTTTCTTTTGCGTACTCTTTACCGGAATGCACCTCGGTAGAGTACCTTTTCGTTTCTTTTTTCTTAATTGCTAAACGCATATGATGACAGTGTTTCGGGTGTCTGTTGCAGTACGGCAGTCCCGGCTCGGGGTGGCGACATCTTAACGCGAAGTGGCGTTCGCCTAGGTATTATTTGTACATATATACATACACATATATATACATATATATATTATATAATACACGCATATATTATACCACATACATTATATGTTATATATATATATATAAATATCGTACACACTTCCTCCGCGCATCGACCGATCTCACTGCCGCTATGTCATCGCTTTAGAGGCTTAACCCACTTATCCTGTCGTTTGCGCGACTGTGCCAAGAAAATTGTTGTGTCTCTGTGCGAGGAAATGCGAAACGAAAGTGGGACGGCGATGGCGAGATGAGAAACTGCACGCCTATGTTACTAATGTTACTTGACTCCCTATTCGCTGTATGTACACGACAATATATGACGACGTCTGTAGCTTGAAATTTGAGAAGTATTGCGAATATTCACGGATGCAAATAAAAAGGAATGCACAATTATAAGTGACGAAGTAAAGGAGAAATCGTGAGGATCCCTTTCGAATTTTTTGAAGCCCTTAAATTACAGCCCACGCATCAGCTTTACCCGACGATAATAACAGTCGACGATAACAGTTGCGTAAACGTTCCCGACGATCGTTCCCACTTACGACGCGATCAAGCACCGAGCATCGTGCTCTCTCGCGAGATGACCGCGCGGACGCTGACTCCGAATGAAATTTGCATATAGGATCGACGACTCGGAGGCAACGCGCTGGCTGTTGACGTAGGGACGCTCCCCCCTCCCCCCCCCCCCTCCGCACGCGCTTGGCAATCGTTGAGGATCGGAACACCGCAATGTACTACCGACTACACTGTCGCCTAATCGCATTTCTACGTTTCGCGTTTGTGTCCCGCCGTTACCTCGTCCTTTCATCCCGCCGCTACCGGTTTTACATCCCCCTCGCGACGCTGTACATATTCGCCATTCGTGTTGCATGAGTATCGTCCATGGAGTATATATATATATATATATATATATTTGTGCAATACATACTTCTCTCTTTCTCTCTCTCCCGTGCGCGCACTGCGGTGGCTCGATTACATTGCAACGCGCGACGCACGATTCTCGAAATTGGACGGCGGGACAATTCTGGGCGATGCCGTAGCTCGCGTGACGATACCGAATTAATTGCTGTTCTGAATGGGCGCGCACGCGGAAGTAGCGCGAACTTTGTTACAAAGCCTCCGATTTCTCCCGATGCCAAACCGCCGAGGAAATAATAAATAATTGGCGAACGTTATTTACACCTGCATGCATATAAATCCCGTCGTGTCTGTTTTTTTTTTTTTAATGAGATTTGCGAGTTGTAGTATTCGAGATGCTTCGAAGCTGTCAGCTTTAATTTTGACGGTAGAGATTTTCCTTTCTTGTAGAAGATACTGTTTCAAGAAACTGTTCCACCTTGCTAATATCCAATGTTAAATATTTATCAAGTTGACGTTGTCCTTTTTAATATTCAGAATTAAATATTTAATAAAGCTAATTAAAGCTTAATTAGCGATAAAGAAGAATTTAAATTGACATAAACGAGTTTATCGTTAAAATAAACATCTGAAATTTTCGTACTTGAGCATTTAAATATCACTTGAAGCGATCGCTTTGGTCCACAGCAAGGAATAAATTTATCCTGGACTGAAGTATGTTTTTTTTCTATGTATCAAAATTGGTTCCTCATTTCCAACTCCATAAGTTCAATTCCTTGTTCCCGTATTCATTGCGTCTATGCGTGCTGACTCTTCCACTCCGCGATAACACCCGAACTATCTCCCGAGCGAGGTAAGCAACCGATGCATATTTTTCGCGAGGCGAAACCACAACCCACCCCTCCCGTTTATCGGCGTGCGTGTCGGTCCCGCCGTGATCGCGACGCAATGATTAAGCGCATGCAAGCTTGTAAAACATACGCGAGGGCCGCATGTTTCTTGATATAATGGCACGCTTAGGCACCGTGACTTTTCTCGAGCTTACCCCCGATCAGCCGCTGTTTCGCAGCACGGATTACCCGGAATCGTGCTTGCTTGCGCCGCAGGTAAACGCAGGATGCAAAATCCAGAAATCTTGCCTCTCCTAAGCCGTGGTTCAATCTCGGTGTCGAACATGCTAATTTTGCATTCGTATTAAAGAATTTAAATTGACGTTAAAAGTGATTTTAACAGTGCGTTTGAGACAGTTATTATCAATGGACGAGTGTTACAGCGAAGTTGAGATGCCACGACGGACGATGTGTATTTTTATTCTGCACACCATGTGCTTGATATATTTACATATTTTATTTAGGAATGCATTATTATTAATTAACTTTTGCTAGTATCTCTCATTCTATTTGACCCTGTATCTAATTTACATGTTTGCATCCCCAAGATGTAGGCACTGCAGCATGTACCGTGTATTACAGCAAAGTATAGTTAACACGATCGTTATCTATATATGTATTTGTATATTAAATCGATAGAATATAATTGTATGTGCCTAGTGCCTAGTTGACAATATATGTTAACCAGTAGTATTATACAATGTGATTAAGCACACGAATTTGATTCTATTTTAATAATAATTGACAAAGTTAATGCAACGTGTAAAAGCATGAAGAATCGAACTTTTGGAACTGATGATCCAGTGAACTAATTTATTGTGATTAAACGAAAGAAAAATATCTCCCTGATGATCGGATAGCGTGGTACCGTACAGCGAAAAATACGCGAAAATACATAAGAAATATACGTTGAAAATATTATTTGTCACGAAATAAAAATATTTGTCGTGAAAATTGGAAACGCCCGGCTTAATATTGTTATTAAAATCATAGCGGGATTACAGGATTTTTTCAATTTAAATCGTCGCGTCGCAGACCATTCATCGTTCATTTTTCTTTCGGGAAGGTGGCGATTTTTTTCGGAGTACAATTTCAAAAACATTAACCAAAAAAGTATACATATATATATACATATATGTATATGTTGTATATATGTATATAGTGGCGTTACGAAACGCAGAGAAACGCGGGAAACAAGAGAATCGACGAAAAGAGTCGGTTGTACGCAGTTCTGCCGGAAAAATAATGGAAGCTTCAATTACCGAATAGATTGCCTCGAATTTCTATTGCCGGGCGCTATTCTTCCATTTCACCCTTTCTTTCTTTCCGCCTCCCTTTGTTTTTTATTTTTATTTTTTTTCGTTATTTTAGTATCTGTCAATTTTACAAAACAAAGTAGCGCGCGATTATACACGCGCGCCCCTGAGCGAATTGCGAGTTTTTCGATATACGTGTTCATTCGAACGCATGAATTCGCACCTACGCATAAGCGTACCGAGGGCAAATATTTTTTTCGCTCTGTCCCCGTCCAGGATCTGTGTATCGCGCAGTTTAATTAATGCCCCTAGTTTGAAAATTTCAGTTTCTCTTATTGCATTTGGATGCGTAAAGCAATAACGTGATACACAGGGCGTCCCGAATGCATTAATGTATGTGTATCCTAAATACACAAATTATAAATGCGTGTCTACTTAATTATGTGTAATTTAACTATGTGTAATATATTTTTACAATTGCATTCAAACGGATTTTTGGAACGAGTTTTCGGAACGAGTCTTTTCTCGCCGGGGATTTTCACGTGTAGCGATAACGGCAGTTAAAAATTACCGACGGAATCGCATGGTGATGCATCGTGTTCGTAGAATTCCCATCACGGGACGGGAACGCGACTCCTATCGGGCGGGCGCCCGAGGCTTTCGTCGAGGCTTTACTTATCTCGGCTACATCCCGCAAGCGGATTTCTTCGGAGAACGAGAGCTCGCGCCGAAATCGCGGGCGTGCGCGCGCGCAACTGCAGTGGTAATGATAAAGCGGATTCAGTTCGCGACTTCGGAAGTGCGGGGAGACACGAAGACTCGACAGCGCGAGGGAGGGAAAAGCCTCGTTTTACGGCGCATTAAATTCTGACGAAGTGACTCGTCCTGTATACCGGCGCGGGGAGGAAGAGAGCGATCCGAATTATCCTGAAACAGATAAACAGGCCGCCGACGACGAGGCAGGGCGGAGGAAGCATCGGGGCGGACAGGAAAGGGAAAACAGGAGGGAGCCACATTTCTAAAGGGGGGGGTTGTGTTTCGCGAGAGAGAACGAGAGGAGGGCGCGAGAAGGGCGGGACGAGAGAGGAGCAGTAAGAAAGTATGATGGAAGTACTTAGGATTTTCACAAGGAGGGAAGATGAAATCTAGGGAGGAGGACGCGCGTCAGTCGAGCGTGAGATGCTCGATGGCGGCTGTCCCCGACGGAGCATCGCGAAGAAGTTTCCTCGTCCACCTTTTTTACGCGCTCCGTAAAGAAGCTGTCGTCTCGTTGCCGCCTGTTTTTTTCCTCTCTGTCGATAATTTAAATTTCGCTCGTAAAACGGTTCGATCGCGATTGCCGAGACTTATTTATCGCAATTACTCCGCGATCTTTCGATTGACAGCGGTTCTAAGGGTAACAAGAATGAGTCGCTTCTTTCTTCAAAAGGAAGAAAACGAAGAAAAGACGCACGCGTTTTGCACAATTTCCCAAAATTGTAATCACATTATGACGGATAAATTAGACGCGCAACTATTTGGAAAAATCGTATATATCACAAAGCGGATGAATTTTTTCAAATCGAATTCGTGTCTTCTCTGAAAAATTCGACGGATTGAATTTGCAGTCCGCCGGGGCTCCGATTGATTAACGGCGTAATTAACCATATTTATCGTATTCGCTTTTGGCGGTACGCTCGGGGGAAGGGAGAGAAAGGGCAACCGCGAAAAATTCGCGCGATACCTCGTCCGTTGGAAAACCGACGAGGGGGAGTCCGACGGTGCAAACTCCGAGGAGGGATCGTCCGACAGCTAAACAAATTAGCGCCGACGTATTACAGGGCGCTTACGTGGTAGGTACTAACGCGCGCCCGGTACGAGACGTTACGGTAATAACGAATTACACAACGATGTTCGTCCTGTGCTTTCATCGCGCGCGCGGCGAAACTCGGGAGGTTACAAGCTCCCGGGTATCCTCGCGCGCGCGCACGCTCACGTACGCTCGCGCGGCACGATAATTAATTCCCCATTAAACGCGGAGCGCGGTTGCACGGTAACTTAACACGCGCGCGTCGTCGCGCATCGTCGCCGCCCGGCAAAAGCCCCGGCTGATGTCGGGTTATTAACGAGCCGGCGCAGCAGCGCGGCGTGCCGTGGACCGTGTCTCGCCACGTGAGTCACGTATCCGCGGCGCGCGCGGATCCCTTATCGGTGTCCCGATAACGAATAACGCGCTCCGGAACCTCCACGTCTCCCGTATCGCGGGTCACGTATCCGCGTTATCTGTCACGAGTCCTCTCTGCGCGGCGCGTTTTGTCACGGCGCGGCAGCTGGTATGCTCGTGTGGACCGGAGCGAAGAGAGCTATACCGGACGAAGCGACGAAACGATGAACTTCTTCCCGCCCGCTCGAAGGAAACGGCGAATGGATATAGCGCGCGTAGCGCCCAGCAATAATTCGGATCTCTCCCAACTTTCCTTCGGGCGCGAATCATTTATCTCCGTATGGCAGACGCAGCCGTTCCCCTAATCGGCAAAAAATTGCGGAACACGCCGCGCCAATAAATCTGTGATTTCTATCGACGGCACCGTCCGCGCGCGACTTTGCTCGCGAGTCCGTGAGATTTATCGGGCGCGGCGCGCCTGTTTTTATCGTGCCACGGTCTTGAATAAAAATATCGCTATAAGTACGATGTAACGATCCGGAGCGTTAAGATCGCCCGCTGGCGAGTATGCAGCGGACGATGAGGAAAAGCTCACCGCTACGAGGGATGCCTCGAAAATCCGAGATCACACATTCCCGAAATTGCCGAGCGGCTAATAAACGTCCGCAATAATAAATTAGCGCAATTACGCTCTCGTTGCAAGAGTGATTATAACGTAATGCGAATGAAACGACACGAATTTCCACGTCTTTTCGTCGCGGCTCTTAAATTAACGCCAGCGGGAAATTCGTTGCCTTCGCGGGGGCAACCACGAGATCACCGATCACGGCGTGTGTGTGTCGAGAGATGCGACGTACTGCACGTCCTCCGGGCGAATTAATGCCGCCGGCTCCGCGCATGTATATAAATTTCTGACGCGTAAAGTGTTTTATCGCCGCGGCGACGGCTCGACATAGTATCCGCGTTAATTACTTTTGCTTCACGACCGGCGCGAGACGCGCGGGCGAGGGAAAAAAAGGGCGAGGAAATTCCGGGAAAAGTGATGACCGCCGCGAATTACTCCCGTCTGAAGAATCGTCGCGATGTAGATTGCCTGTGTCTTTTTACGTTTACTTTCCGAGAGCTTTAACAACCATTTCGGCTCCCTCCCACGACGTGGTTTCGCGACGAAGCTTCCACCAGGCCCACAGGGATTTACCGTTACGCCCTGGGAGAGACATCCTGTATAGATCACATTTATTCGTCAAATATAGAGACAAATGCTTTTTTATATATCGTTAAACATTTACGCTGGAAATTGAGTACGCTTTTCGAGTACCGACATTACGTAGGAGAAAGATCGTCTTTGTTAACTGAAGCGCGCGACACTTGAAACGATCGAAGATCGTCGGATAAATTAATTGAAGTCCGGATAATACGAATCTCGTAGCGAGTGCCCGTCTATCCGATCATCTCTCGACGATCTGCGCGCTCGAGGATCCATGAAAGGAGCCTGGATCAATGACTTCGGATCGCGCGCCGCTGCCTTTGAGAATCATTGATCCGAGTGTCCGCGCGCGGATGGGAGGATCCCCGTGTGATCCGTGTGTACTCGCCGAGTCGTCCGCCTCGACCTCGAAGTCTCCCAGGCCGATCCTTGGGAAATCCTCACGTCGATCGTCAAACCCCTGGAACCACCTCCCACCGTAATGGCTCCCTCGAGCAATGTTTCTTTCGGCAGATCGCCTGTGCCGCACGGGAAGAGCTTCCCGTAACTACACCATCGGCTGGGCCATACACTGATGATGATCGCCACGACGATGGCAACGACGACGACGACGGCGACGATGACGACGACAACGACGACGACGAAGATGACGACGGTAAAGCGCACCGCGCCGCAAAACGGCCTCCACGGCTGCTTACACACACACACACACACACACACACACACACACACACACACACATACACACACACACACGTATAAGGATACACGTCATTACGCGGCGCAGCGTCGAGAATCCTTGGGGAAGTCCTTCGGAAGTATAGAATTGTTGTACTCGCGGAACGCGAGATCCTCTGAAATCCGCATTAACGGACACAGTCGAAATCATTCGATATTAATTCGCGGAGGAAAAGTCGGAAGTTTCGCATGACAAATTATACGTGGGTGTCTCTCGTCTTTGTTGTTCTAAATAAATATATAAATATATATACATACATTTATATAAATATATATTCCTGCATCACATACAGAATTATAACGCGCGAAAGATACTCCAATGACGCGTCATGATGTAATAAATTTAGATCGAATAAATATTGATAATGTTAATTGATAGATATATATATATATACATAAACGTCGCGACGTATATATAATTGTTAAGTCGTCGGAGATGAATTTCATAAAAGGAACGACAAGGGGGAAATAAACGTGAGAGGAGCCAAAGGGACAACCTTTTGATATATGATATATGGGCCATTCGCTTTAAACGGCTACTTAACCGGATTATTTAAATATTTATACACGGAGGGAAGAGGAGTTCTTTTATTAATTAATTCGACCAAACTTTCGACCGAGCGTGACCGAGCGATCGGGTACAAACTGTTCTGTGTTCTCCATCTCTTTCTTCTTTTGTCAAACCTACCTTTCTTTTTCCTCGCTGCCGTCTAGATAGAGCGATTCGTTCTTTTTTACGCGCCAATATGCGATTAGCTATGTCCAAATAATTTTAACGCGTTGCTGCGGCGGAAATAAAATTTTTTGCTATTTTTTTAAATTTTAAAAATTTTCTGATGTTCTTTAACCATCTTTATATTGTTTTTTTTTTAATTATTGATCACTTAAGTGACAACTGTTGACGAGATTAATATTGCTCTAGAACGCGATGTGGCGTGACAATACCTAAAGTTAATTAATTAATTACAAATATACAAATTTTTTATTAGACGTAAATGAAGAACGATACCACCGACCCGATCGTTCCGCTCGGCATGCAATGTCACTGTAATATTCACTAAGGTACTAACTCGTCGTTTAAATTAATAATAATTTTAGCATATACAATGTATACAATCAATCTGTACATATTGTCTTCAATGTCGTTTCTAATCGATCGATGTGACCTACGTGTTGTAACGAGAGAGAGAATGGAATTTGTTACAATTAAATCGCGCGCGCGCGCGCGCGAGAGGGAGAATGGCATAAATTGTCTCTGCGTGCATGCGGGTGCGAATGAGAGGGAGAGAAAGGCACGGGAATGACGTGGATGAAGATAATTATGCGGAGAAGTCTCACTGATTTAGATTGTTAGTCCGTCGTACATGTGTAATCAAGTTCACGAAAATAAATTCGCGTAGATCAAAAAGTATGCCGCTGTTTAACAGAATCGTAGAACTGTAGAGAAAAATCGTGTACCCTCACGCTTTCCGTGAGGATATGACGTCAATCCTGGAATTGTCGCGCAATTAACTCGACGGAATATAACTTAAGTAACCCGTACTGTCTTTGCACTTTTGGACGACGCGTGCCGACTTTTTAGTTCCATCGATATTCCAAGAATTCTCTTTCGAGTTTACCGAACGCTCGGGTTCTTCCCGCGTGTTCTACGCTTTTCCAACGTGTAAATTTCTTCTTGATAAGCGTAAGTGGTAACAAATTAGCGCTAAGGCAGAAGAAAAAAAAAGGGAGATATCGGTAACGAAAGACTATTGTAGTTTTTGGTTCGCACGTAGCCTTCCGGTGGTCTTCATTGTAAAACGTGTTATTCGCATATTATGTACTCTGTCACATTACATATACACGTACAACACTACGGAACCCAAATGCACGCGCACGATCAAAGCCTTGCTGCCTAAGCCTTATCTTGTAACACGAGGTTTAAAATAAACTGCTGAAAAAAACGTACCTTACGCCTATGTCAATTACTCGTACATCCATGAAATCCGCGATATAACGAAAACGAAATCCGCGTGAAATGCGAAGTCAGAATTTCCGATTTTCTTTTTTACGCGAGCGCTTGGCGATCGTATCAATATTGTTCTGCATCCGACTTCGATTGACGGTCTCTCGGACCTACGGAAGACGTCGCTATACGTAAAATCGTGCGACGCCAACGACGTAAAACGAAAGAATACAAGGACTTACCTCTCGTGTGTCGACGCATTCCGCCATACATATTTACCTTCCATCTCCCGCCTTCCCCCTCCCCGGGTCATCGTGGACTGTGTTCAATAAACGTGTCTCCCGATCTCTGTGTCTTGTAGGTATTCTTTATTCTTTGTAAAATCATACAGCGAAAGCGATCGGATCTACACAGTGTAGTGAAGCGGGATACAAGTGAAGTGAACGTTCGCCGAACGAACGACGGGCGAGTCGGATTTTTGAGAAGCTGCTCGTCCCCCGCCTCAATCAATCCTTATCTCGGCGGAGGGATGATACTATTCCGAAGCAAAAAATTTAGAATTTTTTTTACTGCGATTGATGAATCGGAACAAGCGTTTGAAGTCTTAAACATATTAATTCGTTTAATCTCATTCGTTTGAATACCGAACACTTTCATAATCTTCCTCGATCTCTGAATCGATGGATTTCCCTGGATCTTTCGATCTTGGGATGTTTTTGTTTTATTTATTTTTTGACAGAAATGGTTGTGACACGCCGCCGATTCGCCCGCAAACTCGAAGGTACATACGATCTCCTCGATTCTTTTTCCCTTTTGCAAATTTGATTGGCCCGAACAGTGCAAGGTTCCTTTCTGTGAAAGATCGTTCGCTAGAAAGCCGCGCCGGTCTCTCCGCGGCTTGACGAGCGCGCGTGACTTAGAAACTTAATAACTAATCCTGACGAAATACAGGTAATGCAAACGTATATACGTATATACCTAAGGCCCTTAATAAAAATTAGGAAATTCTCTAGTAATTAATTATCCAAAATATATGTTACTTAAAGGTTACCGTCAGGGCTGGTGACGGCTGGTGAACGCGATGGTGGGCAATCAAATGTCCAGCGATGACAATTCATGAATTCGTGTATGGTGAAACAAATGCCTTTTATACAAATAGCTCTGTGGTACATAAAATTTGATTCCCCCTACTAATAATAAGGTTTATATAATATACATATATTTATATCATATACCTTTGTAATAGCTAATAAATAATAATCCTTAATAGTTCGTCAGATAATTTCTGTGAAACCCGCCTATCCGGCGCTTAAAATACGAAATCGCTTACACTTTATATTTATATATTTATATTTATTTATATTTATATATATACGCTCTTCGCATTCGGAATTTTAAAAACCACGATCTCTCCCCTGCGACCGTCCTCTCTTATGTCACTTTACGTACTCTATACTCTTACATATTAATGATTTACCGTAATGGTGTGTGCTTAAGTTACTGGTTGCACTTACCGGTATCACCTGCCGCCAGCCGGGGTGGGAGAGGAGGGGGTGCGGCGCTCCCTCCCCCGGCGGCCGTAACTTTAAAAAGCTTAAAAACCCCGTACTTAAGCTAACGCGAACGTTAACGTCGGCGGCGCGTGTAGCGCCGCGTTTCATCGTGCCCGCTCTAAAAGAGAGAAAAAAAAGAACGCGCTGCCGTCCCTCGGCTACGCGCGTAAATGCAATCAGTAGCGTATCCTTGCGTCCTTGATTACCACCGGTGCCTCGAATCCTCAGGCCGGCAGCCGCGGAATCCCAGGGGGGGGAGCTCCGGAAGCTCCGAGCTTCAGAAGCCAGCTCGGCACCCAGGAACCGCTTCCGTAAAGCCTTCGGGATCCCAGGAATCCCGGATCGTCGAGTCCACGGATAATCGGATAAACGAGTGCGAAACATGTTTAGAACATGTCCGACCCGAAATAATGATCGTGCGACGACGAGGACAGAGGGAACGTCTGCCTTTGTGAGAGACTCCTAAATGAGCGCGTGCGTGTGGTGTATTTGTGTATGTGTATGTAATGTTGCGTGTGTTTGTACAGGAAAACGCGTGAAACGCGAAATGTCGATGCTGGGCGTTCGCGATCAGTTCTCGCCAGTGTTCTCGCGGGATAGAACAGCGGAGGAGTGATAAAAAATACGAGTGATAAAAGAAAAAAGATGACAGCAGGGACTGTGATCGATGCCGCGATTAACGTCACGTTCACTGGCGATGGCGTGTCAATTGTTTTCTCAACGATTAAAACGCCTTCGACGGAACGTTTCTATAGGGGTTGGAATGTGTGTGAGTATCTCTTTGGGGATTTTGATCTTAAATAAACGCCAAGATATCCGAATACCCGCGGACCCAATAAACGTCGAAGTCACTTTACCTTTTAATGTTTATACTCCGATTCGTCGTTCACTTTTGAGATTACGGAGTCGCAGATCGAATACATTCGCGATGAATCTTCAGGTATCGGGATATCCGGCAAACTATCCATCCACGCAATTGTCTATCCACTTCTACGAGGATCACGGCTCTGGTCCTATTCGTAATCCTACAATTAACAACTACTCGTAAGGATAGCTAAACTTAGCTGTATTTGTTCGCCGTAGCTTCGCTCGCGAATTGAAAATCATAAATGCACTTTCTCGTAAATCTTTTCTTTCTCTTTATTTTTTTTTTTTTTGTGGAATTAATCCACCACCGTCCGCGAAATTAAGACGGGGAAAAGTTAACTCGAATTTTACGTTTCTAATACCATATTGATGCAAGATTTTGTAATATGAAACGTGCTATTCGTGAACGCGAATCGTCGTGGACGACGGTCGATTTTTCCGCTCAACAATTTTTTATGGCCCTTTTGCAAACGTTTGGTAACAACACCGGCAGCGTGTGTGTGTGCATCTTTTTCCCGTACGACGTTCTTTTCGCTCGTGAAAAGCGTGAAGATTTTTTTTTTTTAAATCTCGCGTGGCAGTCCGTTTGATCTCGTCTCCCGCGTACCGACTCGAACCATCCCCCTTCGAACTTAATGGCAAGCCCCAGCTCGCTTACTGTCGGCTGCGTGGCTGCCGAACAAGCTGAACATTAAGACACATCTACACGGAGAAATAGAGTTTCGCTATTTTTTTTTCCTTTTTTCTTGGTTCATCTAACGAGCAAACAGTGTTAATTAGAGTTTATGTATATTTTATATAGATAATAATTGTAATAATAATAATAATTCGTAATATCAATTCATCCCAACAACAAGTTTAAGTTTATTCATCTGATAGTATTTTGTTTCTCTTTTCTCTCCCTCATCACTTACTCTCTCTCTCTTCTTTTTGTCTGTCTTCTCCCGTCCCTTCTCTCGACTCGTTCCTCTCCGCGCGATCGATACTTTCTTCCTCATTAATATATATCTCTGTTTATTATATATATCTTTATTTATTTGTTTTATATATATGTATAGACTGATATCAACACGTATAACATCGACGTTTTTTTTTTCTCGTTAAATCGAGTTCTCGCGGAGTAGTTGTGGCTGCTCCGATTACGCGCCCGCTAATTACAATCTGTCTCTCTTTCACTTTAAGATCTATCTACAAGAGAGTAGTAAGTCATAAGCCGTAAGAAATTGATCAATGAACAGTCGAATATGAGAAGAATAATCGACTGTGATTGATCAATTTCTTACGGCTTACGACTTACTACTCTCATTGTAGATGGACCTTTATTTTTCTTTTTATACGTGACTAACGGCAAACAAATTACCGGACCGTGTTGCGAAACTTAACGACGATCCGATCAGTCAATTGTCTTTCATTTAGGTTTCGGCGTTTTATCAGTTGAACGTGAACCATCTACGCGCCTCTCTTGCCGCATTTACCATCCGACTCTGTCCTCAAGAAGGACACGAAATTTCGAGGCTTTATTTCCCCCCTTCGAGCTTCGAACGTGTTTCCGTGCCGTGTGTATTCGTTTCTCTTCTTCTGACCCCGCGTTCGTGCGCTATACAAGCAAGCGCGGCGCCCGCAGCAGGACTTCATTCGCGGGCGAATGCAAAATCGATTTTTTTCCCGTACAGCGAAGACGGCCAATTGGAAAGCTCTGTTTCTCCTTTAATATTCATTATCTTTTAATATTCAATTCCTCGGTAGATAAGCTTACGCGAGAATGCTCGCTAAGAGAACGTTCGATTAATTGACGAATGAAGTTCTGCTTCTTCTCCGCGTCTCTTTAGATCTCTCAGATCCAATTTCTGAGATATACGGATATTTAAAAATTTGCTAAAATCCACAACGAAAGAGAGAGTCAAAACCCTCTCGCGTTGCGGTAATAAAACGGTGTATATCCGGGAAATATATTTGCACGTGTATCAAACTTCAGTATGAGTCACGAAAGTGTGCTTAGAGAAGCGCTCGTTTACCCTTTCTTCGCGACGAAAGAACTTCAGCTCGAGATTTAGCAGAAAGAGCTAATCCTTCCACCTTTCCATTCGGATTTTATTTGATTATCGTTCCTGAGCCTATATACCGGTTTTCTTTTAGCCGCGTCCTTCGAACTTTCGCTTCGAGATGGATTTTTTCCTCGCTAAATTGCTCGCCACGCATACAGCTAAGATCTTAACGGTAAAAGTTCGTTATATTCGACGGACAAGGTGTGCGTAGGTGTATATATATATATATATGCGTGTGTGCCTGTACGTGTGTCTGTAATGATGCGATGAGCGTGGGGATATGGAAGGAAAAGGAGAAAGTTTCATCGGGATGTAGTTGTTACGATACAACGATAGCGCGTGTGTGCTGTGCACCGAGAGTAGATTATGGTCAACGGAATGTCTTTCCGTTCCCGTAAAAAAATAGGCGAATCTCAAAGGGGGATTAATAGGAAACTCCATCCGCGGACGAAAGTCTCTCGGGAATTAATTCTTTTAGTTTTCTTAATTTAATACTTTAACGAGTATTAAGATACGTTGTGCAGCAAAAATCCTCTT